AGGGAGAAGCAGGCTTCCCGCGGAGCAGGGAGCCCGATGTGGGGCTCGATCCCAGGACCCTGGGATCATGACCTGAGCCGAAGGCAGACACTGAACGACTGAGCCACCCAGGCGCCCAAGAAACCAGATTTTAAAGTAAAAGCTTACTAAGATCCATAGAATGGTTCCAAAGTACATTGGTGGTGGCGGCGGCAATGATGACGGTTATTTGTTGTGCATGTGTATGATTACTCGTTTTTTATGAAGTTGTTTTCAGCTGCATAGTTTTAACTAGTATCAAAACTCTAGAGACTGACATCCTGTCTCCTTTTCCTCTTAGAATTCAAAACAGCAGTAGAGACCATTCTTTTTTCCACTTTGCCTCAGAAATCAAAGTTCCTAATACTTCATTATATTTGCCATAGCGTTCCTGTTTATGGACTTAAGTGACTTGATGTCAATTCCACCTTCCATTTACCTTTTAGAGATTTCTTGGTACTCCGTGAAGAAGTGTTCAGTCAGATAGCCTTTAGTGAAATGAAATTAAGTTAATGTATAAGTGTTACTTAAAAGGAGCTTTGGATTTCACTTGGATCTTTGAAAAATCAATTGACGTTAGTAGTACTGATCTTTGGATAAGTTATTCAATACTTAACTGTAATTTTACTCCCATTACATACGGTAGTTCTTATTTCAATGCAGTGTGAATGAGCATGTTTTAAGAAGTTTTGACCTTGTTTTCCAGTCTTATTAAGGAGCTTTATTTGAGTATTTGATCCATTTGCATTATTTTTTCTTATTTCAGAAATAATTTGAATTTCCTCATGGGTTCTTGGTGGCCCAACCTTGAAGATCTTTATGAAGCAAATGTTCCAGTGTATAGGTTTATTCAGCGACCTGGAGATTTGGTCTGGATAAATGCAGGCACTGTTCATTGGGTTCAGGCTATTGGCTGGTGCAACAACATTGCTTGGAATGTTGGTCCACTTACAGGTATTTTAAAGAATATGCTAAAAAAAAAAGTTTGATTTATAAAGGATTGTATCTGATAGGTTTATTTTTTTTTTTCTTGGAATATAACTCACTAGTAATTGGAAGAAGAGTTGTATCTCCTTGAATAAAATTTTAATTTGTAGTACAAGAAATTAAATTCAAGTTAACAGGTAGAAATCCAAGACCATAGATCTCAGCAAATAACAAATTAATGTCTTTATATACAAGGAAGATACACTTTTAATAATTTTTAGAGTGCTTGGTTTTGTTTTATAAAGCAAACCCTTTATGGGAGAAGGCAAAATAGAGGGGTTATTCATTCTTTCAAATTTTTCTTTTATCTGGTATGTTGTATGAATAGCCCTAATATGTCAAAATCTGTTTGAATTATGCCTGCCTTCAGGCAGTAGATAATTCAGATTAAGAATATGGCCTTTGGAGCCAGAAAGACCTGGATTAGGACCAGGACCTGGCTCTTGCAACTTTGGGCAAGTTATATAACCTCTCTGGGCCTCAATTTCTTCATCTGTATAATGGGAATAATAAAATTAATAAGGTAATGATAAAGATGAAATGAGATAATGTATAAAAATAGCTCAGCACAATGCCTGGCACATAGTTATAGTAAGCACTCTTTATGTGTTCACTACTATTATTATTGCCATAATTATCAAAGAAACATAAAAATTATTTTTGTAATGTTTTGAGGTTCTCAGAATTGGTATTGATAACATCTGAGAAGGTGATAATGGTAACTTCATATCTTTTGGTACTTTGGGTTGCTATTTTATAACTGTTTTTTTTTTCCTAGCCTGCCAGTATAAGTTGGCAGTGGAACGGTACGAATGGAACAAATTGCAAAGTGTGAAGTCAATAGTACCCATGGTTCATCTTTCCTGGAATATGGCACGAAATATCAAGGTCTCAGATCCAAAGCTTTTTGAAATGATTAAGTAAGTGCTTTCTAAAACTGCTGTAGTCCCTCTCTTTTTGGGGAGTGTTAACTATTCAGTACTTCCCCCCACCCCCATAGAATTATGTTGACATCACAACAAAAAGGTCCAGAAGTCTAGTAAAATGTAGTACAAGTATCCACACATTAAAAGTATTTTTCCCTTCCAGATAGTCAGTACGCTATGGTACAAAAAGGAATGAAGGCACACAAATGATTCTAAACCAGTAGATTCACAGGCCTGTGCTTCCCCACTACCCTCTGAGCCACCTGATTCCTAGGAGAACTTGAGTTTTAATATTGAAAGACTGCCCTTGGTATCAGGGGGAGAGAATGGCATCACAAAATAATTGCTGGTACAGATAAATTAGCATTTAATATAAGGACTTAACTAAAATGGCAATTTTTTAATTGTTTTAATGAAATCATTCATCTTATAATTGTTCCTTTTCTTAGCTGCTTTAAACACCTAATACAAGTTATTTGAATATATATATCCTGCTAAGCTTCTCATTTATTGTCAGTTTCTGTCTTAGCTATTTTGTAAATATATAATATTTTCAAATCGTTCTATATAGCAGTGTTTCCCTAAATTGTATTTTCTGCCACTGCTGCCCCTACCCTGAAAAGGTGGGTGATTCTGGTCAAAGAAATGGAAAATGATGGATTAGATAAAGTTTTACAAGTCCTTTATTCTTTTAATAGTTTTTCTAAAATGTTGTAGAGACTATAAGTGTTGGTATGTTTTGTGAATGGGGAAGGAGGAGGGTTATATAATGTATTTCCCAAACTTATTTGTTTGGCCAGTATCTCTTAAAGAATTGATCTCCTCAAAAACTCATTTTGGAATACACTGCTTTATACTCACTGATAAAATATTTATAGTTTTCATATTTGTTAAAGTAGTGCTTATATTAAGTATTTCTCCTGCAGCTATATTAATTTGGTCAGAATATGTCATTTTCAAAATACTGTCTTTTGAAAGTAATCCTGTCTTAATAAACTGATTTCAAACCTAAGTCCAAAATTTCATTCAAACAGAAATTGTAGTGGTCAAGGTAACACACCTCTGGATTATCTTATGATATAGTCCTTTTATCAGTTGCAGCTTTTAGCTAGTCTCGGGCAGAAATAGTAGGGGAGACAAGAGGTAACAAAACCCAAATCATAGCAAATAATATACAAATCCTTTTTTTTTAAATTCAGTTAATTAATATGTAGCGTATTATTAGGTTCAGAGGTAGAGTTCAGTGATTCCTCAGTCTTATATAATACCCAATGCTCATTACATCACATGATATACAAATCCTTTTAAAAAGTTGGCTCTTGGGTACTGTATTCTATAAATGTAATTGGTAGTGGGGTGTGAGGGGTTATCTATCCATTTATCTTACTATATCTGACGGTGGTACCTTGCTCTGAAGGGCAAGTTCAGGGTTACTTTTGGGGCAAAAAATGATTTAAAGTCACTGAAGATGTTTAGTAAATTTGAGATAGGCATAAACTAGAGGCTAATTCAGATCTCCTAAAGAAGGTAGAGGGATGGTACAGCATAGAAACCATTTCTCTAATAGCTATATAGATTGAAAGTGACTCATTACATTTTAGATAGATTAGAATTTTATAATTGGGAAGGATTTTTAAGGTCATTTAGTCAAAACTACTACTAAGTGCAGTAATCCATTCTGTAGCCTCCATAATTTGTGGTCATCTAGTGAGGTAGATGAGAACGTTACCTCACCATAATTCTCATTACCTCACTATAATTCTTGAAAGTTCTTTACACATTGGCCTAAAATCTACCTGTCATTTGGTCCTAAATCCCTAAATATGTTTCGGATTTATGTAGAATGTATCCCATTCAACAAGTGTTTAAGAACAAACTGTGCAGTGTTTAAATTAAAACCCCTCCCCTCAGGGGACTTAAATTCTAGTGGAGCAAGACAGACCACCAGACAAATGAATAAGTTACTAACAAGTAGTATGAATAAGATGAAATGCGTAATATTTGGGGGGTGAGGGTGGGAGTGCTGGTTTTTTCTACAGCAGTCAAGGAAAGTGTCTGAGAAGATGAGTTTTGTGTTTAGACCCAAATACTGAGATGGAGTCAACCAAATACCTAGGGGTAGAACATTTCAGGCCTGAATGGCTGAATGGGGAACATCTTTGGCATGTTTGTAGAACAGAAAGGCCAGTATATACTAGCAGAATGAGAGAAAGGGGGGTTGCAGTAAGCTCAATGAAGTGAGCAGGAACCAGATTGGACATGGACTTTTAGGACATGGTAAGCAGTTTATATGTTAGTTCTGGGTGTTATAGGTTAGCATTAGAGGAGTATAAGCAGGAGACGGATTGGTTCTGATTTAAACTTTTAAGAAAATGAATCTGGTTGCTTTGTAGAGAATGGATTCCAAGAGGCAGTGTTGGAAAGGGGGAGTGGGTGGACAGTTAGAAGGCAATTGCAACAGGACAGACCAACCTAGACAGACATTTACCCATGGGGGTAGAGAGAGGGATCAAATTAGGGTCTGTGATGGAGCTAAAGCTCACAGAATTTGCACATATGTTGCCGGGTTGGGGGAGGAAGTGGCAAGAAGGAAAAAGGAATCAAGGGAAGATCATTGTCCTATTCTGTTCTTCTTCCTACCTGGTCGTCATTAATTTAAACATCTCTCACCTCTATCATCTTTTCCATCCCTCCGTCCCGTCCCCATCATCCTTGTCATCCTTCTAGACTCCTTCCAGTTTTTCATCATCCCTCTTAACATTTGAAATGTTGAGCATTGACACTCACATTCATCTTTGTTATAAAGTTGTGTTGTGTTGAAATTGGATACACACCATTTGGATGTTTTTCAACTTAAAATTACCTGTGGTACTGTTGTTCCTCATACCTACCTTCTTTTTTTAACCTAAATGCACTTACATACTCATTTTACTCCCATTTTTACTCTGTGCTACAAAATATTCAGTCATTTAAATCTTTATTGTGTTCCTCATTATATTAAGAATTCTGCTCCCAGCTTGAGTTGTCATGAGATGTGATTAGCAAGCTCCTTTTGTCATCACACTGATTGAAAATGTTCACTATAAATTCAGACCCCTAAGCCTTGCTTTATAAACTTCCCTCTTAAAGCATAGTCATTCAGCTATTACTAAAAATGTACTTTTCACCAGCCAACATTGTTCCTTTTCTTCCATTTGTACTTTCTATAATTTAATGAATGTTTGCTGACTGTATACAAGGCTCTAGGCTAGGCACTGAGAGAGGGTGTATGTGTGTCTGTCATCTCTCTGTATCTGGTATAGGTCTTATCTTGAAGTAAAAGTGCATATAAATGGATAGATCGAAAGAAATACAACAACGGATCCCCACTGGATTCTTTCCAGCTCCATGGAATCAGAAAAGTCTGTGTGTTCTGGGAAGCAGGTAATTTGTGTGAAGGCTAAAGATGTGGAGGCAGGGAGAGGAGAGAGGACAGAGGAATAACACCTGAAGCCAGTTTAAGACCAAACTTGTGCCATCAGGAAGACGCTTCCATTCATCTACAAAGTAATGCATACCATGTCTCCTTCAGTCCAGCACGGTCACATTTGCCTCCAGCGAGGGAATAAATCCCTTTTCTTCACTTGAGCACTAGGTGAAGTCGTTGGGCTTCTGTGGAGAGGCCCTCTTGTACTATTACAATCATACTCAGCATGGTAAGGCTGCTGACTCAGTAAGAGGCTCAGAAGAACTCCTGCTGCCCAGAGGACCAGCAGGTGCATACTCACTCCAGGTCATCTTTTCTTCCCCCGGCTCTACTTCTGTCCCCAGCACCTACCTGTTTTGCTCCTCCCTCCTGACTTCTTCCCTACTGGGTATTTGCATGATCTTAAACGCATATATGATACAACTCTGCTACGTATGCGGTGGTACATTCTAGCTTGAGGACAATGTGTGTGATGAGTAGTAGAATAAAAGTTCTTAGTGGCAGAGAGTATGCATTGTGTGCCAAACATAAGTCTGTTCTGTTAGCTTTTGATGGGTTTTTAACTAATACGATCTAATTTGGGTTTCATAAAGTACTTTCTAGCAGTTAAATAAACAGCATAAGCTTTTGGATGGTAAGAGAAAGGAGTGAATCAAAGATAGTTTGGGTTTTCAAGTCTGGGTTCTATGTGGTTTTAGTAATAATGCTAGTTAATAAATTGATTTTGGGGGGCAGACCTGGCTGGCTTAGTTGGCTAAGTGTCCAACTCTTGATTTCGGCTCAGGTCAGGATCTCAGGATTGTGAAATCAAGCCCCGTATTGGGCTCTGCACTCAGATCTGCTTAAGATTCTCTCCCTCTCCCTCTGCACCCTTCCCCCCACCGCTCACATGCTCTCTCTCTAAAAATCTATATAAGAATAAAAATAATAAATTGAGTTTGGTACTTAGCTGAGCACTAAGAAAAGTGCTTCCCAGAGTGTATCTGAGTTCTACCCCTCAGCATCCCAAGGTCACCCAGGTAGTTACAGCCAGGATTAAATGCCCATAGCCATCTTGTATGAAAGCTACTTGAATGTATCTTTGGCACAGGACTTCATTTTGGGGCAGTGGCAAGTTTGAGGAGCCAATAAAATAGTTGGATAGAGCTGTTTAGCGGAAGCTGTAGGAAATGCAGAACTCCGGAGAGCAAAGTTAGAGCCGACAGACTAGGGGGTCTTCTGTCTAGCCATTTGTGATTGCCTTGAGAGAAAGAAAAGGGGAGGAGTTGGAGACAGAGCTTAGAGGAATACTTCTATTTAAGAAAAGCAAATAGTGAACCAGATAAAGGTCAGAAGCCAGCATGGGGAATGTATTGTTAGAAATAGAGGGTGTCTTTTTCCACAAGCTCGGCTTTGCTGTAAAATTGTACCCACATCATTGCTTTGGTCCTCAAACCTAGTATCCTGCCAACAAAGGAAGTGGTATTGGTTTGTCCTGGCTTGTGAGCTATACCAATTCTTAAGTAATGGTTCTCTCTTGCCATTTCTT